GGAGGCATAAGGTGACAAGGAAATGCAAGTGGACAGAGCAACAAGTGAAATAGTGTTTCGTACCAATTCTAAAGAATTTGAGAGGCACTAACCTACAGACATGGGTGTCAGAGATGAGGGACCAAATTAAACCAGGGGAGAGGGCACCAGGTTTTGCTCACAGCACAATACACTGGGTGGAATGTGTGACTTTGAAAATATACACAGTTTTGAAATAAGCTTTCTCAGCCAAGATGGTAGCCAGTGAATTTCCCTTTGTCTGCTAAGGAGAAGATGAATTTACATGCAGAAAGAGGATACAGAGACAACAAGTAAGAACAACTGTAACCTTGCAAGTCAGAGAATAGGTGGTGTCAGATTCTCAAATTGCGATTTTTAGGAAAGGTGTGGTTCTCCTGTGATTGAGTTAGGGGCATCTTGTGTAAATTAGAGAATGACCAGTGAGTAAGGATGAGGACTGTAGAAGTGATGGCTTGTAACTGCGTTACAAATACCCTGAAGGATGGGGTAGGAAGGGTATGGTCATGCTTACTCAAAGATTTGGCACCAAAGGTGGGGCCTGATCCCTTGCTTGAGCTGGGACCTCATGTTTGGACATAAGCATGGGTACTTCGTGTGTGCCCAGAAAAGAAAGCCCCATGATTGGCGTCATCCTTTGGGCACTCTCTGTGCCTTGGCCAAGTTCTGGCATGATACCACTCACGTCCCTTTAACCAGTTCTTCACTGCTTGTCATTTCCTATCTGGAACCACGAACCCTGGTTCCACCCCTAATTTTCCTAATGCTAGACATAAGCCTCTGAAGCCAGTCTGCATTGTGCATTGCAGATGGTACAGAATCCTCTTGTAAACCTTTGTACCAACTCCTGTCCTCTACTCCTCTTGTTATTCTTGTAATTGGAATATATACATCTATGTCTGTCTACCTGAGATGAATGTGTTGATGTGTGTGACATTGCTTTTTTCACAGGGACAGGATTATTATTTTCCCAAGTCTTGTATTGTCTACCTTGTGTTCCCTGCCAGACAGGAAATACAAGAGTTCAGAGTTCCTCGAGGACAGAATTGCCATATTTTTTTCTGTGTCTCCAAGACAGCCAAGAGTCCATGCTTCTTACCAAACACTTCTCTGCTTGAGAACTCTATATTCTCAGTGCCACTTCTCCTTTCTGCTATGATCTCTGTCATGGCAGATTTTATGGCATCTCAATCTGGTATTCCTGGGATACCACCAGAACCCTACAGTGCTCAGGCCTCCAAATCCATTTAACCAACAGAGTTGCAACACCTGCTCCATGCAAGGTGCTGAGTGACACAGTTCTACACCAGGAGAGATCCTGCGCTGGTGGGGGAGACAGACAGAGACACAAATACATTTCACACCAGGCAGGAGGTGATGATTAGTGTTAGGAGAGTGCGTAAACCATGCGACTCACACACAGAGTTCTTCAGATTCTAGGAGAAAGGGAGGAAAGGAGCCAGAGAGATGGAGGTTGGGTTTGGGGTGGGGAGATAATCTGATGGTTACCACATTTTGGCAAAAAGTTCTTAGGGCTTTATAATCCCTAGAGTTTGGCTCCATCTGGGGCCTACCCCTCCTGGAGCAAGCTTTGCTTTCAGAGAATTCCCCTCCACTTTCTCCTATCCTTCACCTCTCCTGAGAGCCTTTTGCTCAGGCAACCTGGCGGTGACTTGGGAGGCCATTCGAGGATAGGCAGTGTCCTGTCTACTGAGGTAGTCCTAGGCAAACTGCAGACTACTTCATCTGGCTCTTGCTCCCCCTCCACCCCATCCCTGTCCCCCGGGGCCAGTTAGGAGGAAAGGAAGAAGCACTTGGGAAACATCTTTTAAAGGCACTCCGCTGCTGTGCTTAACTCTGGCAGGCAAGGGACCCAGTGCAAAGCCTCTTCATGATTCCCTAGGTTTGACACAGGCCTTTACAGTTCCAAAGCCCTTCTACCTGTGAAGCTGGTATTATAACCACTGTAAAAGAAAACAGAACCAGAGGGGTTCAATGACTTTGACAAGGTCATGTGGTTAATTGGAACAGAAACCCAGTCTCCTAATCTCAAGAATTACTCCTTCCCCTGCAAAGCCCTCAGCCCTCTCCCCAGTCAACCCTAGGCCCCTTCTCTCCAAGCCACCCGTGTCCTACCCCCGTCCCCTACCTCCTGGGCTCAGGAGGGCAATCTTGAGCCTCAGAGACTGAAGTAGGGCGGGACTGAGAGTTTCCTGGGGGGAAACCAAAGAAGGCTTGGGGTTGGGGGAGGGGAACGAGCACCCTGGATATCATTCCTCCATCCCTCTCCCGATCTCTCTCCCAGGCCCACGGGTCCACTCTCCCTCCCGCATTCTGAGCCGCCCTCTCTCTGTCTCTTTTACGGGCACCTCCACACCTCCTCAACAGACCTTTATCCCGGACACGGCAGGGGGTCACCCGTGCCCTCCGAGAATCCAAGAACCCGCCCCGCCTCTAGGCGGAAAGCTGGGAGAAAAACTGGCCCGATCCTTTATCTCCCCCCTACCCCCCACTCATCCGCCCCTGGAGCTCCGCTCGCAGATACCTCCCCCTCCCGAGCCAGAAATAGACACACTCTCTCTCCCCCACCTCCCTCCCCTTGCGCACACTCGCTCCCCTCCTCCTGTTTGCTCCCCGCCTTCCCCTTCCCTCCTTCCTCTGCTAGGAGCTGCAGCCTGCAGCCTCGACTCGGGCTGGCTGGCTGAGTGCGGCCGGGGCGCTGCCGGGCAGTGCGGTGTCCACGGGACTGACAGGAAGGCAGGCCGCGGGCTGGGATCCGGACACCAAAGCACCGCAGGGCGCCGGAGGAGCCGCGGGGCTTCCATCCTTCCTTTGACT